ATATAAATGTTTGCACAAATTTTATGAATTTGTGTTGTTAACCTGATCCGATATCTGTTTATGAATTACATGTTTATGAGATTGTAACATTGTTTTCGTGTTCATAGCTTTGTATAATCAACACTTTTTATTATCTCTATTGTCGCTTTTCGGCCTAAGTACAAATGTGGTTCAGTTCAGTTAAGAAAATCTAATTTCTGTCTTAGAATTAATCGGTTTTGTTAACGTTGTGTTTTCTGATTCGGTCTGAAAGAAACCAAGTATTGTTATTTTCTTCTATGACAATACATTTTTTTCAAAATGTTATTTTGTTCGTGTTCCACTTTATCATACGACATAAGAACACATAAAATAATCTCGTTTCTCATCAACATCCGACCCTGTATTTTATAGAAATAAACTTCGTTTTCAATTTGATTTAAACATAAAATCTGTGGATCACATGCATGTATAACATAACTCGCGTGTCATCTTGTGCAATGGCATGTTGTCAGATTATTCATTACAATAAAATAAACATTATCTCTACGTAATCAATCTGTTTTTTTATGACGAGAAACAAGACTCTGTTAATGTGACATCGAAAACATATATCATTCATTTCAGGTTTTATCCCGCAAAATGCTTTCTTTAGTACTTTTCTAATAAACTGCCGGACAGGGGGTTATACACCCATGTTTGATGGTGACTAAATAGAGAAAATAATCAAGAACTGGTTGTTCGACGGTGATGCATTTGATACGGGTATCATAGCTGTGTTTTGGGCCTGAAGTATGCAGTGTTTCAGATAAGGAACGTATTGAAAACAAAACTAAAATTCTTATCTTTGAGAGTGGACCAGCAAACACATCAAAATTAAATTTTTATTATAACAACAAAAGACTTGATATAGTTGACACATATAACTACCTAGGCATAACATTTCATAGGAATAGAAGACTAGTTACAAGTATTAAAGATCTCGCTGATAGTGCTACAAAAGCTATGTTCAGCCTGTTGAAAAAATCACGAAATATCGATTTGCCATTGGATTGTTTACTGTATTCCTTTGATACAATGATATTACCTATTCTAATTTATGGGTCCGAAATTTGGTGTTTTGAAAATGTTGAATATCTGGAAAAAATCCACCTAAAATTTCTTCGACTTGTTACAGGATTAAGGAACTCGACCCCTCGTTTTATGCTCTATGGTGAACTCGGCAGATTCCCTATCACGATAAAGATGTACAAACGTCTCATTTCCTTTTGGCATAAATTAACCTACCATAACGGTGTAAATAAACTTTCAAACCTTGTCTTTATTTACTTGACCTTGAATAATGAAAAACTAGAAAAACCCAGGTTGTTAAAGGTTAAAGACATTTTAGATGGAACTGGTTTGACGTATGTATTCAATAGCCCGAGCTCATGTACTACCCAATGGCTAGCTTCACAGGTGGAACAAATACTTAAAGATCAATTTATCCAAAAGTGGAGAAATGATGTTGCCTCGAGCTCAAAAGGACTGTATTGTAAATATCTCAAGACGTATCCATTATATGACGCATATCTATCTTTTCCAAAGCGATTCTATATTCCTTTACTAAGATTTATTACATCTAACCATAATCTACCGATAGAAACTGGCCGCTGGGAGAACCTACCACGATGTGAGAGAACTTGCAATCTTTGTAAATCTTTTTTTATTGCTGATGAATTTCATTACATATTTTACTGTAAAACTCTCTGTGGAGCAAGAAAAATGTACTTACCATCTCTCATAACAAAATATCCAAGTATACCAAACTTTGTTAAATTATTTACAACCAAAGGCGCCAAAGAAATTTTTAATCTATCAAAATACCTCTCGAAGGTATTATCTCTTACAAGAACAGAAGAATCTTAACTCCAGCCATCTTGTATAATATCTTGTATTTATTAATTCTGCATTTCATCATTGTGTATTATTTAATTTTTCATTTGTCTTTGTATACTTTATATGCTCTTGTACCACCAAACGTGGTTTTTGAGAATAAATGAACTTGAACTTGAATAGTTTGGTAAGATCCAATTTTCAAGTGTATACTTTCTTTTGCACGGCAGTTGACACGTGACTGCCTTTTTTACATGATATGATATAAAGTAAAGTAAATTACAAGGAAATCATGAATTTTAATATATATCCCTGACTTTGTAATATGTCTTATTTGATTCCATAAAAAAGAGACCGTGAAGATCCGGGATAGAATAGGTCTTCAGCAACCCATGCTTGCCGTAAAAGGAGACTATGCTTGTCGTAAGAGGCGACTAAAGGGATCGGATGGCCAGGCTCGCGGACTTGGTTGATGCATGTCATCGCATCGTGGATCGATGCTCATGATATCAATAACTTGATTTTCTGGCCCAGACTCGATTATTTACAGACCGCCGTCATATAGCTGGGATATTGGTGAATGCGGCGTTAAACAACAAACAAACAAACAAACAAACAAACTTCCGCAGCATAACTGTTCAGATAAAAAAATCTTTCAATAAAATCACAGCAAATAGAAAGAAAAGTAACCATAACTATCGCTTCAATACATAGCTACTTACTGTAAGTAGAACATTTTAATTTGTTTCATCCTACTTATAAAAAAATAAACTGTTACTAAATAACTCATCACACGCAGAAATTAAACATCCGCACGCGATATAGATCAGTGATGTCTGTCACAGAGCCTGGGGGGTAGGTGGCCATCTGTCCGTCCCCTCATACTTCTCGATGCTGTTGGCATTGTCCCTAAAACTGATTCTTAGGTTCAGATAGCACCCCCGGCAACTTTGTAGGCTGTTGAATGTCGTAGAGAAGGCAAACTAATTAGCGAAGATATAATACTGAATAGAGGTATGTTATCAATATTTGTAGACAACGGATATTAGAATGTATTGTCACCTTACGCCTTGGTATTGATTTAACATCATGTGTTGTTTACTAGACGGATGTCTTTTCTTTGCTGACACTGACAGTTTAGCACGCAGTTCGTATCTTATTCTGATTTTGTGATTTAAACAAATTGATGACAGTTTCGGCTTCTGCTTTTGCCAATCGCCTTCTTTAAACTTTCGTTTTCTCAGTTCTACCCCTAGCTGATTACAGCACCCTTCCACCCCCCACCCCCCACCCAAACCCAACCGCTTTAACACTATCATACCTCACCCCGTCTAACGTTAAGAACACAAACACTCTGATAGTAAACCCTCATACACGAGAATCATTCGTATCTCCCAATTATTATTTAACATAAAATCGTATGTTATGTCTACGTATATGACCAAAGTATTTATTTAATAAGCTAACATGAAACTTCAATAGCGTTAAAATTTGATCTTACCTGTAATTCCCCAAAACCGAAATAGGAGAAGCTGGTGGGTGATGAGGAAGCTGATGAAGATGCCCGTCATCACCTATACTGGTAAGATACGATAAGATAAGATATAGTTTATGAACGTGTCACAAGTGTACACTAAAAATAAACCAATATATAAAATACAATATAAAACACTATCCAGCCATCACTGGCTTATGCGACACGAAAAATATCGTAAAAATACATTTTTTATAGAATAATTATTTTGGAACACTATTTCCGTTTTTTTATAAAAGTCATTAATAAAAAAAGAAAAACAGAAAAAACCCATATAAAACCCTCATTGAAGATGTGAAAATTAGTTATTATGTTTAAGGAAAATTACAAATGTCATATTATAGTAATTTAGTATATTAAGTATATATGCGGCTCTTTTAAAAATAATCTTGTTATTACAGTGCAATAAAAGATGTGTGACCATCGTGGTTCGACATACCATATAATGCATATACTTAAAGAGTACATCGACGAACACACCACTCGACATAAAAGTAAGCTTGGAATACATATTATATTAAGAGGCACGTTAACGAGAGACATTTCTTAGATTGTTTTAAAAAACGTTTTCTGCTCCTCACACCTCATATCAATAAAAAAAACCCATCAAAGTAAAGGGAAATGAATGAGTATGGTTTTACGCCGCTTTTAGCAATATTCGAGCAAGATCACGGCGGAGTGAAGAGAAGAAATGTAATGACTTGTCACGTATTCATTTTTATTTAACGACCATCCCCAATTTTAAGAGATTATTTAAAACTACATGAAACATTTTTTTGGATATTTTGACCACATCCGATATGGTTCTGAAATCAAATCTGTACAGAAAATATATAAATAATGTCTTTATATAACTCATAAGTTCATAAGTTCACAAATATATATCTGTCACTCAAGATTTGTTTTTTTTAAGACATTTTTTATTTGAGTCAATAAAACGTGCAAAGGCAAAATCCACAAAAAAGCAATGAAATTGATTGGGGTGGGAACCGTTCGGCAAATCCCACCATGTTTTGTTGATCACTACGTGCTGTTACTCGCTCTCTTCTCAACTTGTCAGTCAGTTTTACAGTATGAATTTCTAAAGCTCATTTATCGCTTGCTCTGAAGCCGGTTGTTATTTTTCTCTCTTGTTCCGATACAAATAATTCGATATCAACTGGCTACAGATTGATATTTAGATCTGACGTTGGACGTTTTTGACGCTCGGCCACCCAGGCTCAAGTTTGCCTGTCTATGAATATTGGTTATAATTAATGCCAATTTTCGAAGTGATATGTGCAGACTTTATCAATATTGTCTAGTTATTCCGTGAAGGAAGGATCGCTGTTCTCACGGGGGAGGTGTACTTGGATCATGTTGCCTCCCAGAAGGCACTGGGGAGCGCCCATTGTGCAGGTTTGTTTGCAGCCTGAGGGAGAAGCAATTATCTGCGATTGACAGGTATTATGATGCGAGTTTTAAAAGGCGCGTTGGCGCATCAGATCAAGAGACCGTGAAGAAGTCAGAATTGAGAGGTGCATCACGGGAGACCATTGTTCCGGTCATTAGGAGGCTTCGAATGAGGAGATAAGAGCAGTCCCGACTGTTTTCCCCGTCAGAACACTGCTAGAGACTCCACTGTACACATCTTGATCATGTCTTCTGCGAAGGTTGTTGCTCAGTCGGTCGACAGGTTCGAACCCAGTGAGGATAGATCCGGCGATCTGTCCGACTCGTCTATAGACGTGGAGTTTCACAATCAAGATATGAACACGGATAAGACTACCAGATCGGCGTATGATCACAATATCACGTTGGAGATGTTGGAAGCGAAGGCGGAGGGTTTGACGCTGCCGCTGTCGAATGAATCCTTCATGAACGCATCCAGGTCACGTGTTCCCGAGGATGTTCGTCTCCGCATCAACAGCCGGGAACGTGAGCGAATGCACGACCTCAACTCGGCGTTAGACAGTCTGCGGCAAGTGATGCCATACTCACATGGCCCCACGGTGAAGAAGCTGTCGAAGATGTCGACGTTGTTGCTTGCGAGGAACTACATCGTGATGTTGACGCGTTCACTGGAGGAGATGAGGAAACTCGTTCAAGACCTGTCTCTGCAGAGAAGTGCACCACCCCTCGGGATCCCCCCTCACTTCACCCCCACGGTGGACCCCGCCCGCCACGTGTTAGCATCGCCCTACCACCACCCACACCTCACCCTGCCGACAGCAGCTTTCCAGGCCCCTGGGGTCCCGGGATTCCCCTGTGCGTGCCCCGAGTGTCAAGTGAAGCCTCACCCCCACCCACAACCCCACCGTCATACCAAGGAGGGATGGAAGTCTTGAGACTGGAGTACGTTTATTAGACGCTATTTTATTATGAGTAAAATGTCCTAAAGTGATGACGTTGAATAACGTCAAGGACGTTGATTCACAAGCTGTGTAAGGCGAACCAGCAACAACGAGGCGTTCAGTGAGTACGTTGTGTTGTTTCATGGGCTGATGCGTCGTAGACGTCGGCGGTTTCGTTACACAATGAACACTTTAAAGCGATAAACTGTAAAAGTTGCCAACTAGTGCCTAGATTGACCTTCTCTTCGTGACGTTCTAGAGGAAATGAGTTTCATGATGTTTTATCAGTTGTGAATGTATATAATGGTATGTATTTTGTGCCTGATTGTTATAAAATTTTATTGTTATTTTGATACTGTGCAGAATAAACTTACATTATATTTTGTTAAATATGCGTTTTTTTTATATTTCATTTTAATCGATAATAATTATGCACACGTTATTCAAATGTCAATGAATGTCGAATCCGTGTTAATGGGATGACTCTCAAGTCTGTGCTGGGCATATAGTCGTCATCATTCTGAATCTCCACAGTCAATACAGGACTTCCATGAGAGACAACAAATGTTTCTAACTATGACTTCAACTTTCAAACAATAAACCTCCCCTTTATATTGAGAAATATTCCAGCACCTACATGCCCTTTCAAGCATGCTCTTTCAACGAAAATTCCAAAGAGCGCCATAAGACTCTTGTTCAAAAGTTGTTTGATCAGGGTTATATTCAACGCCTCAGTAAAGCTTCAAAAAGCTTTATGGCAGACATGTGGAGGACATTCCAAGTTTGATGCGTCAGTGACAGAAGTGATGCCCGATGCAATTACCTATTTTGACTTCAACCTTATGTTTCCGTGTATTTACCAGGTGAACGGCACCTTGGGCGAACACCTGGTATCATATTGATTCATAAACACATGCTCATGATATAATCAGAATCGAACAATCGACTCTGCTTTTGGCAGAGAATTCTTATGAGTATGTAACATTTTTGTCGCATTTTTTTGAAACCATATTATTCTGACCGAAAGGAAAGACAATTGTGTGTGTAACGGGACTTTCTGTTCCGTTTTTTAAAGATAGGTTTTGTTCATAAAAGGTGTAAATCGGTGAAAAAGAGAAATTTGTTTTATCTTTGAGGAAGATTTACTGAAACAGGCCGGACGAGTGTTTTCACTTGGGTTGTTTTATACATTGTTACCAATTGATATACGGATTCCACAACCCTACCGACCCACTATTTCACAACCCTGCCGACCCACTATTTCACAACCCTACCGACCCACTATTTCACAACCCTACCGACCCACTATTTCACAACCCTGCCGACCCACTATTTCACAACCCTGCCGACCCACTATTTCACAACCCTGCCGACCCACTATTTCACAACCCTGCCGACCCACTATTTCACAACCATACCGACCCACTATTTCACAACCCTACCGACCCACTATTTAACGAAAGTCGAATTAATCTGATTCATGAAATAATCATAGGCAATATAAACTGAAACTTGTGAACGTTTTAATAAGAGAAAACATTTCATGCAGCGCGTTTCATTTGAATTAATTCATTCGAACTAAACATTCGACTAAGATATTCCGAAAATATATTATTGCAGTTTTGTTTTTATTTAGGCCCTGGCTCTACGTCTTTTTAAGTGGAAAAAAACACTACAATTGTTGGTGTGGGATTCATTGTCACTTTGTTACCATCTCGCGCATCTACAGCAGGACAGCGATAACGTACTTGTCACACATACAAATGCGTCATCTTGATTTAGAAGTAAACACTTATATGCAATAATAGTTTATGTTGTGAATTAAGTTAAAATGTATTAGTTTATCTTTAAATAAGGAGTATAAATGGTATTAATAACATATTTTATATTTAACTCGGAAGATAATAAATTCCGAAAAATAATTGAGTTCAGAGTAAAGGTAGCGTCATTGGGAGAAATCGCAGAGACAGTTATGGATGTTTGGGGAGAGTGTTTTATTGTATTCGCAGCCATGTCGTGGTGCCCTGGTAATAATCAGATCTGACAAACCAATGGCTGATAACACGTGCAATAACTGACGCCGTTGAGGGTAAACTATCAAACAAATTATACATCGACCCACTGTTGTGGCCTGTACGATATGGCGTACTTCTTTCAACTTGGAATCTCCCAGAGTAACGCTTAGTCAATGAAAACAGTTCTTTAAAATAATTATATTTTTTCTCCTGCTGTTTTCATATGGAATCAATGAAACTACATTTGGTTTAGTTTAATCTGGAAATGCCTCTTCGTAAAAAAAAGACAAAAAAGACTGGCGGTGTATGCAAGTACATGACACAGTAATATCTAAACATTATAACACATAACACATACATGTATATGCTTCCGTGACACGTTTTACAAAAATAGCATGCCGGGCAAAAGAATGTTTACACTTGAAAATTTGATTTATTTAGCTGCATTAACGTGTATTTTAAGGGTCAATTTCAACTCTGATCACTCAGCATGACACAAATATGTTAAGTGGGCTGATCACCTTTCATTGATATTATTGATATCATAATTATTCATCTTTTATCAAACATTATTAATCTTTGGAAATAAATAGTCGACGCCAATAGGTGACGTCATCAAGTATGTCAATATCGTCCACCGCATCATACCAGAAACCCATTCAATATTTAAGATTTATCATAAAAAAATCTACGTTTTTTCTTCTAATTCACCAGGGATCATAACTAAATGCCTATATCTGGAAACAGATGATAAGAGTGGAAATATAACGTTTATACAAGAGCTATGCTTACGGGATATAGAATAATCAATGTGTGTTTATAAATTGCAGACTTTCATCATACACGATGTATAAATCCATATAATTGTAACGCGCAGAGGTACTCTCATAAATTATTACCACTTCCCCACCCTCCCTAACAGCTCCATCACCACCCACATCCACTCACAACGTGTCCAAATCATTTAATGAACACCATCCTGATGAAGCTTGTTTGTGGTCTGACGCCGCACTCAGCAATATTCCAGCAAAATGACAACGGTCTGCAAATAATCGAATCTTGACCAATCCAGTGGTTGACATCCTATGCAACTGGGATACGACATACATCAACCAAGTCAGCGAGCCTGACCACCCGATCCGGCGTTCCATCACTTGCATCTATACTATATATTTATCTATACATGTGCATGATTGTAAATAAACAGACGTGTAAACATGCCAAGCGACATGACGGCTTTTTAGAAGAAGAATTAGATTCAGATTAGATAACAGTACAAATGTTACTGGTACCGGAGTCTATGTCAGAGGTATATAACAGAGATATATTACCCAGATACATAACAGAGGTAAATAACAGCGGTATATAACAGGGTCCAGTTTTAATTCACCATAGTATGCTTGTATTTAAGGTTTAAGATTTATTGGTTTTATTGAACAAAATCTGGACATTACATGTTTTCTAAACAAATATTTTTTCTCGAAATGAAATTTACAAGAATTCAAGGTTTAAAATTAATATTCAGCCTGGAAAGTGTAGGAAGTTCTGCGGAAGATTCTGGTTATTTACACCCCTTTGATAACGTGCAGCTGTCTAAAAGGGCTAAAAATGAGAGGCGGGTCACGTTTTTCTTACCTAAATGCATATTATAATATATAGATAGTCTCGCCTGTCATGACGACTGTATTGTTCCTTACACAGATAGCAGTTGAATCAACTTTGCTCTTTGAGAACATGTAACTTTCCAAGTAAGCAAAACTTCATATACACCTGGAAAAGTTAGGCAGCTCATACTAATTATATATGTCCATAAAAGAGCCAGCCTAAAAAACGCATCTTGTATTAAGTTTAAATAGGGAAAACTTATTGTGACTTTCGGAAAGAGAAAATGATTATCAAATGAGATGGTTTGTGCGTTCTTGATGCATGAACGTCAAGAAGGGCTGTGTTGAAGTAAAAAAACTACATAGTTTATGCACTTGAACTTATTCCACCCTTCATTATCAGACGTTTTCGTTTAAGAAATAAAACATCTCTCTGTTTACTACGGTAGAGAGGTACGGTATGTTTAGAGAATCAAATATGATACAGATGAGATGAATTAAGGTCTTCGAACAGAACACAGAGAGAGGTAATGCATTTTGAACTGTTTTTACAAAGAGTTTCAATAAAAAAGTTATCAATTTCAGTATTGTTATTTTTTCCTGTGAATATTGCACGTGTTTATGTTATTGCCTTCAAACGAATTCCTCGCATGGATTACATCTAATTGCAAAACGATTTTATCAAACCAAATTACATTAAATAAAAGACAAGTATTCAGATTTCTTGCAACATTAATGGTCATAGCTTAAGGCTTGAAACGCCATCTGTCGGTTGAGATGAAGACATGAAACATGGCCGGCAGATACTATCTCTGTCAGAACACACAGAGGACATTAATCCGAGGACATCCTCTCTTGTCCTCGCTGCGCCGGGAGGGGGGCTGAAGTTCTAGATACACATGTCTAACGCTGGTGGATGTTAATTTAACAACATTGACAAAAGGCAGAAGCGCATGTTCATTAACCCGGACAAAGGGAGTAACAATGGACCGAGATGTAGACGTGTAGGGATGACTTGTCAGCATAATAGATACAGATGTAGATCTGCTGCTGGATATATTAACCCCGTCCCTGCTGAAGGCGAGATGCAACACAACAGACATGATTACGTCTGACAATTCTCTCGTTACGTCAGGCAAGCATTGCTCGAATGGACATTGTTAAGAAAATCAGGTTTATATGTATAATAAAGGGATTCTTTCTCTGAAAATGCAATTTCACGGTACGCATCGTACAAATGATATCATCGCCCACTAGATTAGCAATTCGCAACACTCATTTGCAGTTGAACTAGTAAAGCATGGCTGTGTATTTGGGTATCTTTGCACATGGAAAATAGAATGCATCCTCTTCTTGTCATATTTCTCGTACATCGGCTCATTTTTAAATCAAGTCTACACATGATATTGATCTCATTTGATAAATGTCTAACAAACCCCGGATACCCGCTGAAAGTTGGTACAGCAACTCTTATGTCTTCACAGCTGTGTGATGATGCCACGGGGATGAAGCAACTGAAAGGGTAGTTAAATAACTGTTGCCAGGAAACTGCTACAAAACAAGTAATCAGATCATTGATATCGGTTTGCTATTCCAATAAGGGTATGTCATTTTGTAAACAAAATCAATTGGTTACAGCTCTTTGTGAACAGTTCAAAATGCATTCACAAGCGCCCGTGTTATGTTTGTAAACAAAATCAATTGGTTACAGCTCTTTGTGAATAGTTCAAAATGCA